TCTGTAAATCTACAATAATACTAATTTGAAAGCCCATCTTATAACATAAAAACTAAGGCTTTGCCAATAATGCACATGTCCTTATATAGTGAGCTGTGCCCTGTTGCCCTGCTTCCTTCTCCCAACTCAGGGAGACCAGCAGCCTGGGTCGTGGGGATATCTTTCCCTTACTTTACATTTTGTACATTTACCCCCCCCTCAGAACTGTTTTGGAAACTCTGTGTTAATAACTTCAATGAGGTTGTAGCCAGGTCCTGCTGTCCTAAGAACCAAAGCTGTCACTTAAAAATGACTCTGCAGTTTTTGCCCTCATGTGCTTGCGTCCCATGCTCTCTGCAGCTCAGAAAGCTTTGTGTCTAGGCAGCAACAGGGCTTTCCCCAGGCGGATGCTTTCTTGGGGTGAGGGGAGGCAGGGTGCGATAGAAAAGAATCCTCTGCAAATTGTCTGTGTAGCTATTCGGCACCGCGGACAGCTCAGGTGGGGCTGGCTCAGCAAGCGCGGCGGTCCGTACTAGTGCTGGAATGGTTCAGCACCACGGACAGCGCACGCCTAGCCGGTTTCTGCATCGCCGACAGCACCGCGGGCCAGCCCAGCTGGGATGGTTGGGCACCGCGGACAGCTCAGGCGGGGCTAGCTCAGCACTGCAGGGAGGTCCGTGCTTGTGATAGAAATGGTTCAGCACCGCGGACAGCTCATGCAAAAAAGCGCTGTTCGGCACCACGGACAGCGCCCCACCGGCCAGCCCTGCTGGTATGGTTCAGCACTGAGGACAGCTCGCTGGAAGGTTCAGTACCGTGGACAGTAACAGAAGTGTCATTTTGCCACCACCTGTGCTAGGTGTATGTGTTCTTCTGAGCTGATTCCTGAGCCTACTCCCCAACACTCAGCCCTAGAATCTCCAGAGGAGTATATCTGCATAATCCAGCCACTCCTGGTGTTAATCTCAGAAATTCAGGCATCCAATAATTAACATGCCCCAAAAGGAACTCTAGATCTTCCCCACAAAGAACCTGTATCCCACTCAGTGAGCTTCAGGGCTCTCAGTTGCTCAGACCCAAAGCCTGAAAGTCTTCCTTGATTCCTCTCTTCCTCTTGTTCCTCCCACTCCATCCTCCAGCGAGTTCTCTCGGCTCCACCTGCGGAGTAAATCCTGCATCTATCCACGGCTCTCTGTTCCTACCGCCACCACCTTACTCCAGGCCAACATAAATTCTCAGCTAGTTTATTTCAAGAGTCTTCTAAATTATCTTCCTACTGTACCTATTGCCCCTTCTTAGCACATCCCCACACAGTAGTTTCAGTGACCATTTGACAATATAAATCAGAGTCTATCACACTATTTCTCAGTACCCTGCCACTGTTTCCCAACACACTTACAATAAAATTCAAGGTCTTCCTGAGGCTTTCCAGACCCTAGATGCCTCTTTGATGTTACATTTTATCACTATCTCCCTTGTGTGGCCATTCTGGCCTCATTGTCCTCCTTGTTGGTTTTCCAGGGTCTTTGCATCTGATGTTCTGGATTCTAGTACAACTAGCTCTTTTCCATATTTTGGATCTTTACTCAAAATGTCACCTGTCCAAAAAGGCCTTTCCTGACCATTCCCTTCTAAACTGGTCTTGTGGTTACTGTCATATTGATCTATTTTATGTACTTCATAGAATTTAGCATAACCTAGATTTTATCCTATGTGTATTGGTTTGCTTGTCATTGTCTGTTTCATCATTAGATATAAGCTCCATTAGACCATAGACATTGATAGTCTTGGTCACCCAGATCAGCATTTGCCACATAGTAGTTATTTAATAAATATTTGTTGAATGGGTGAATGAATTCTTAGCCCTGTAGTAATCTGTCTTTCCCCAGCTAGTCATGGGGCTCAAAAAAGATGTCAACAGCACTCATATCCTTGTAGAATCATATAAGGCTTGAGGGCTGTTCTGGGGTCTCCAAGACAACCCTCAGGTTTGGTGGTTTTCTGGGAAGACTCACAGGACTCAGCCTACTGCCATACTCATGGCTAAAGTTTATCACACAAACCTGGTATACAAAGCACAACCAAAAAAGGGAAAATGCTTATGGGCATAACAAATCTTTACCTGGCCACTTGACTTGCCATGAGGTTATGGCATGGGGGAAGATGTGTTGTGTTACAACAGGATAATGAAGAATTTGGACCAATAATTCCCCCTACCACATCAAGTGGTGGCATCTAGCTATGATTTATTAATCTTGATTTTATTTCCCTTTTAGGTTATGGCACTTGAAACTGGTTTTCCATTTTTAGGAGTGCTATAAGTACTTCTAAAATGGTTGTAGAAGATGAGTTAACTTTAAAATAAAAATATTAAGTAAATAGTAATGTGGATGTTATATGGACATGGATGCAATCATGAAGGTGGTAGGCAGGATCATGGCAAATGTTGAAAAAGGATATATGAAAAATTGAAGTTAGATAAACATTAAAAGCATGGAAGGGGATTCTAGACACTCTCCCTTCACTGTTTTCTTCTCTTTCACGAATAAATCACCTCCTAAGGAATCATTCAATAATATTCTTTCCCTCGGGATTCTGGGAAACTCCCCAAACTTGAGTACATTTTAAGAGCAATGGGTAATTTATCTGGATTATTAGGATCACAGCTGAAGTTTTTCCCTATGTTGAGGATCTGGTGTTCAAACATTATAATGGTAATACTGGTGACATTTACAGAGCACTCAGTATGTATGAGGCATATGTATAAACTTATTTGATGTTTACAATAACTCTATGAGGCAGGGACTATTTTTGTTCCCATTTTGCAGATAAGAAACTGAGACCCAGTTAATTCACTTCCCAAAGTTACACAGCTGGTGGATCTGCATCTGGAAGCCCAGCTTTTGACCCCTGCCTCAAGGCTCTGTGACCTGGGACAGCTCCCCTGCTCTCTGGCACTAAATGTCTTGTTATCAAAAGAAATGGTGAGCACTGAATGAAGTGTCTAATTCTTTGACAATCCATGTTCAAACTCCAAACTATCCTTGGAATGGCTGCAAACTCATCTTCTAAACATCTAAGCAGAGGACGTTTCCCTTCCCAATTAAGTCACATATCCAGAAACTCCTAAGCAAATCCAAGCTTAATCTTTCCACTTTCTTGCTGCATGTCCTTTGTGCAAATCATTTAACTCCATTATGTCCCAGTTTCCTTCTCTGTAAAATGGGAATATTTACCACTTGGGACTTTTGGAATTAAATGAGATAATGAACATAAGATGCCTTTTTCATAGTATTTGTTGGATAAATGACAGCTATTTTGATTGGCTTTCTGCATAACCAGGGTCATTCAATTGCCTAGCCATTTGGAAAAGAAAATTAAATCTTTACCTCACACAATTAAAAAGAATTCCAGAAGGTTCAAGCAACTAAGCCTATAACATAAGACTGTAAAGTGTTAAGATTATGCAGGAAAGTGTTTATGAGAATAGGGTCAGGAAGTGCATCTCAAATAAGACCCCAAAAGCAAAAAATGTAAAAATAGATATCTTGGATTTTTATCAAATCTACAACTTAAGATACTATGTAAACACAGTAAAAAGATAAGGGAAAGGCCAGGAGAAAATATTTGCCACTGATAGAGTAACAGGCAAAAGATTACTATCCAGAATATTTTTAAAAATGCCCATAAATCAGTAAGAAAAAGCTACATAAACAAACTGGGAGGATGGGTGGGGTGGCTTACGCCTGTAATTCTAGCACTTTGGGAGGCTGAGGTGGGAGGATCGCTTGAGCCCAGGAGTCTGAGGTTGCTGTGAGCTATGATGACACCACTGTACTCTAGCCCCGGAGACAAAGCAAAACCCTGTCTCAAAACAAAACAAACAAAAGCAAACAGGGGAGCTAAACAGGTAGTTCACAGAAGAGAAAGTAAGCCTGGTCAACAAAAATGTTAATTTGCTCCACTTCACTAGTAACCCAGGAAGGAAATAAAATTACAAAGGGAGACCATTTCCCCCCACTCCATGGCTTTGTAAAGGATTTAAAAAATTTGCTATAGGCCAGGCGAGCATGTTGGCTCACACCTGTAATGCTAGCACTCTGGGAGGCCGCAGCGGGAGGATCGCTCTAGGTTAGGAGTTAGAAACCAGCCTGAGCAAGAGCAAGTTCCCATCTCTACTAAAAATAGAAAGAAATTAGCTGAACAACCAAAAATACATAGAAAAAATTAGCCGGGCATGGTGGCGCATGCCTGTAGTCCCAGCCACTCGGGAGGCTGAGGCAGAAGGATCGCTTGAGCCCAGGAGTTTGAGGTTGCTGTGATCTAGGCTGACGCAAGGACATTCACTCTAGCCCGGGCAACAGAGTGAGACTCTGTCTCAAAAAAAAAAAAATAAAAAAATAAAAAATTTGATATAGACTTCCTAGGAGCAACTTGGCGGTGGTCATTGCATTGTAAAATTTGAATAATAATGATCACTGATGATAACAGCAGTTGTTTGGCATGGTTGTAAGCACTGTGCATGTATCACTTAATTTTTATTTTTTTTATTTTTTACCTTCACAGTAATCCTGGGCGGTGGTCACCATAATTGTTCCCACTTAAGAGAATGGGAAACTGAGGCATAGAAATGTTAAGTAACGCACCCGAGGACACACTAGTAGCAAGTGGCAAAGCCAGACCCTGACTCCAGGCTGTGGGGCCCCAGGGTTTCCCCTGGTTTTTAGCCCAGAGAACTACCCACCGGCTTGTGCGGAGCTGCTGGCCTCCCCGGCGCCCGCAGCATGGGGAGCCGGACACGACCTGCGCGCGCATCCGCGGGGGATGCCTGGCCCGTCCCACTTCGGCCAACCCTCAGAGCGGAGCACAGGACCACGCCCCTCCCCACCCCCTGCGACCCCACGTGGGCACTCAGTCTCCGTGGCCGCTCCGCCTTCTCCCACTTCCTTCCAGGGGCAGACTTCCTGGGGGAGGAGGGAAGAAGGCCGCCCCCCCTCCCCTATTGCCCCCGCCTCCCGCCCGCAGCCTCCGCGTCTGCGCAGCCGCAGTCCCTGCGGCGCCGGCTCTGCAGTGCCCCGGCTGGGTCTGGTGGGGAGGGTGAGTCCTTGGAGGGACCCCCGCGGGCGGGGAGGAGGCGGGAAAAGGGGGCCGGGGCGCGGGCGGCGATCCGGGACGCGCGAGTGTGGATGTGTTTGGGCAGGGGGGGGGTGTGCCAGGGACGGGTCGGGGGAGGGTGGTCCCCGCGCCCATCCGGCGGGAGAGGCCTGCGGGTCTGTCCGGGTGGGGCTGTTTCTCCGCCAAGCGCCGTCTGTCCACCCGGCCGTGCGTTGCACGTGAATTCCAACCTCCGCGCGACGAGAAGAGAGTGGACCCTGCACCGAGCGTGCGTTTGTGGTGCGTGCGCCCTCGCGGTCGGCGTGCGCTCTTGTCCCGCGGGGTCCGGCGTCTGCTGTGGCTGTCCCTAGGTGTTTAGCGCGCTGCCTCCGCGGGCCTGCGGCGCGTGCACCGGCGCACGAAGGGGTTGTGTGTCTGTCTGCACACGTGTGTGCCATCCTGCAGTGGCTGGGAGCACTGGCTCTGAAGTCACCCGGTGTGGAATCCGCGGCTCCCACTCTTCCGAGCTATGCGGCTTTGAAAAGGGGACTTCCTCTTCTGTGGGATGGAATCATAGCCTCATCTGTGTGCGCATTAGGTGACAGAGGGTTCCAGGGGCTCAGCAGTGCTGGCGCACGGAAGCGCCCCAGGAAACGCCGTCGCCCACACTGTGATTGGCATTGTTGTTGTTGCTGCATCTCCACCCTTTCCTCTCGGCAGATGGGTTGTCTGCTGTTCCACCGAGACGCTGCGGTTGTGAAGTGCGAATTCCCCCACCCGTGCGCGCCTCTGTCCCGCGTCCTCCCCGCTCCTGCGTCCATTGCCAGGCAGTTTCTTCTGACCTTGACCTGGCGGCTCCTGCCTCCTCCGTCTGTCACCCCTCTTGCCTGCGTTTTCTCCTCTTCCCATGCCTTCTCCCCCTCAGCCAAAATCCATGATTATGTCTCGTATTAAGAACAAAACAAAGCAGCAAACCAAACAGCACTCCCTGGTGCTGCTCTCGCACTGTTTCCCATCAAGGCCAGTAAGTTACCTGTTTCCTTGAGAAACGGTGTCTGTGCCGGTGGCCTCCTCTCCTCACCGCCACGGGCTCCCGGCCCGCTCTGAGGCTGCAGACCGGCAGCCCTGGGTCTAGTTCAGCCCCGCCGCTCGCGCGGTTTGCTTTGCATGGTGGCCTGCAAACATTTGAAGTTGACATTGATCAACTGCAGATGTCATCTGAAAATATAAATTTCCCATCTTCTTTTGAGAAATCAGAAGATAGGAGACATTTGCGCCATATTTCTGCTCAGCAAACATTGGCTGGACTGAATGGGGCAGCTTCTTCAGACAGGGCACCTGATCTCGCTTTTGCCCTGTCCCCCCTGTCCCCTCTGTGCCCTGTCACCTCTCCTCACACCAGGTGTCAGTTGCTATTTGTTTATGCTTTCCTTACAGCAGAGAAGTGTTTCTCTGGATCCGTATTTCATTCTCAATTTCAAAAGAGTGAAAGTAAAAGCCGGACAATCTGGTTTGATGTTTGTTTGTTTTGCCTCCCACCGGTGCTGTCTGCCCAAACTCTGGAGGTGTTTGAGTCCCAGTCCTTTCTGTCTGCTGGAGTGCTGGGCCTGTGCTGTTTGGTCCTGTGTCCACTCGTTTTTCTCCTCCAGGAGAAGGCGCGCTGTAGAAGGTGTCAAATGCATCACCATGCGCCCAATATACAGCACAGGTCTGGCACAAGGTTCTGGCTGAGAAGTGGGTGGAAAAGTTGTATTCGTTCAAGCACCCAAGGGTGGCAAATATGTGTGAGGTCCTGTAAGAGGTGATGTTTAGGGTCGGCTGTGAAGGCTGAGCCGTGCTTCTGGAAGCCGACGCAGGAAGGACAAACTGAGCCGGGAACACCCTTTTTGTTCTTCCTTTCACCAGGTACTCAAACTCTGTATTAAATCATGTTCTGTCTCAGTAGAAAGCTCACAGACTCCGTGAGGTAGGTGCTGCTGTTGCCGTCTGCTCACTTTACTGATGAACTGAGGCTTGGAGAGGTCAAAGGGACCTGCCCCAGGTCATGCAGAAGATAGGAGGCAGAACTGAAGTTCACGCGAGTGTGGTCACGTCCATGCCTGGCTCCCCAGCACCCGGCCCTGTAGGAGCAGTTAGCATTTTATAATTAACGCCGCCGTTCTTGTCCCACCTTTGTGACTATTTTCTCATTTTAGCATCACCTGTACTAACACTTACCTAGTTTTCCTTTAAGTCACCTCTCATTTTCCTCTCTTCTAACAATGTTATTTTAATACCTGAATCACAGCTCCCTAAAGATGTCCATGTCCTCATCGCCAGAACCCAGGACCATGTCAGACTATTTGATGAGGGCGAGTTACAGTTACGGATGAGATCAAGGTTGTTAATCAGCTCTCTTGGAGATGGGGAGATGGCCCTGGATTATCTGAGTGGATCCAATGTAGTTAATCGTACAGTGGTCCTTAAAAATGGAGGGGAGAGCCGGAGTCAGAGGGTTTCAGCGGGAGAAAGGGTGCGTGGCCTTTGCTGGCTTGCAGATGGAGGAGGGGCCAGGAGTCCAGGAATGCAGGCGCCTTGGATGCCAGGACAGGCAGAGAATGGATCCCCGTGGAGCCTCCGGAAGGACACAGCCCTGCCCACACCTCTGTTTTGTCCCCGGGGGCTCATTTCAGATTTCTGACCTGTAGAACTGCAAGAAAATAAATCGACTCTGTCTTAAGCCACTGAATTTGCGGTAACCTGCTACCGCAGCCCTAGGAAACCCAGACAATGCCTCAGGGACTCCTAAAATCAGGATCTTATCAAAGACCAATGATGCAACCGGGTTTAAGCAAAGCAGTGAAATTCATATGAGGTGCAATTCTCAGAGCCAGCATTTGTATCCATATATATGTATTGAAACAGATAAATGCAGCAAACCACAAATAAAATGACATGAAATTTAAACAATCGGTATTTTATTTTAGTTTTCTTTTTTCAGTGAGGGGGAATTAAGGTTGTAGGTCTAAAAAGGACATAGAGTAATGTGCATTAAGTGTGCAGTTCTGGGACAATAGAGCCCAGTGAATTTGTACAAAGGTGCTCACCTGTGTGACTACTGCTCAGATCAAGATACAGAACTTTCCCCAGAATGTTGCTGCCAGCCTGGTATAACCCCTCTCTGACTCTTATTAATATCAACTCATTTTACCTGTTCCAGACTTTTCTATGTTAGTAAAATCACATATATGTGCTCCTTTGTATCTGGCTTTTTCAACTTAGTCATATATGTATGTATTATGTCAATATACATTATACATATTATATATTACATATGAAATATATATTTATTAAATATATATTATGTTTATAATTATATATTTATATAATTATATTTAAAATATATTATAGTTATATAACTATATTAAGATATGCTTATGTATAAAATACATAAAGTATTAGAAATACATAATATATATTTAGATTCATCCATTTGTTGCCTGTGTCCTCTGTTTGCTCTTCTTGTTCCTGGGCAATCCTCTGTTGTCTGAATAAACTACAATCTATTTTTCCATTCTCTCGTCCATAGACAGCTGGGTTGTTAGCATTTTTAATTACGAGTATGAGTGCTTTTGACTATGAATATAAACTGCTTCGGTTTTATAAATACAGCGGACATCAACAACATTCATGTACAAGTGTGTGGGTGGACCTAGGTTTTCCCTGCTCTTGGCGAAGTTCCTTGGGGTGGGATTTCCTCATCCCAGGGTACTTGTGTGTTCAGATTTCCTAGAGGTTGCCAAGTAGTTTTCCAAAGCAGTTGAACCAGTAGACGCTCCCGCCAGCATGCATGAGTCAGCCTGCTTTTGAAATCAACCTCAATGAATTTCACAGGGAAAGCCAGTATCACTTTTAATTTGTTTTTATGGTGTGTGGGTGTGTACACACACACCCACACACCCACACATATACATATACCACATTTTCTTTTTTTTCTTTTACCCCCCTTTTTTAGAGGCAGAGTCTCACTCTGCCACTCCAGCTGGAGTGCGGTGGCGTGATCATTTCTCACTGCAGCCTCCAGCTCCTGCCTCAAGTGAGCCTCCTGCCTTGGCCTCCCCAAGTGCTGGAACTATAGGCTAAGCCGCTGTGCCCGGACTCAGTATAACCCTTATTTATTTATTTTTACACTTATTGAGGGTAACCATGAAAATAAACACAGGCAAAGTCTTTGCATTCCGGATGCTTTGCCTGCTGAGCCTGAAGCTGCTCTGCCTGTGTTAGAAGCAGGGCTCAGCTAGAGATGGGGAAGGCATATGGGCACGAGACGGAGACTTTCTCCTTAAGGTAATATTAAATAAGAAGGATCAAAGGGTGAAGAGGGGAAGCCTCTTTCCCCAGGATTCAGTGTCACTGAGTCCTGGGTGTGGCTAAAACTCCTGTCTGGGCTTTCCTGGGCGTGGGAGACTGCAGGAACAGACAGATGCAGGCTGGGCCTCTGCTCATGACTGGGGGTGGAGAGTGGACCCCGAGCAGCTGGTGGGAGGCAGGTTCAGGGAGCAGGATCCGTGGCTTGAGGGCCAAGTAGACCCCTGGAGGCAGGGAGGACATGGCGGAGGCCACTTTATCCAGGGGAACAAAAGCAGGGGGCTGCCACAGTGGGCAGGAGGGCAGCGCCTTTTCTGAGGCAAGAGCAGGGGACGGGCAATGGCCTGGGTGCAGGGGCGAGCTGGGGCAAGTTCAAGCCTGGTCCTGTGGGCACGGGCGGGAGGATGTGCAGGTGAGGCGTGCGATGGGGGCAGTGGCAGAGGGGTCTGGGAAATGGTGAGTTTGGGTCTGGGTTTTAGGAGCCTGTGCGCCCACCCCCTTCCCTGCAGGAGGCAGATGGAAGATACAAATGCTGATTGGCAAAGCAGAAGAAAAGAATATATTTTTGGGCCGGGTGCGGTGGTTCACGCCTGTAATCCTAGCACTCTGGGAGGCCCAGGTGGGAGGATCACTCAACCTGAGGTGTTCGAAACCAGCCTGAGCAAGAGCAAGACCCCGTCTCTACTAAAAATAGAAAGAAATTAATTGACCAACTAAAAATATATATACAAAAAATTAGCCAGGCATGGTGGCGCATGCCTGTAGTCCCAGCTACTCGGGAGGCTGAGGCAAAAAGATTGCTTGAGCCCAGGAGTTTGAGATTGCTGTGAGCTAGGCTGACGCCACATCACTCACTCTAGCCTGGGCAACAAAGTGAGACTCTGTCTCAAAAAAAAAAAAAAAAAAAAATATATATATATATATTTTTTTTTTGCATCTCCATTATATATTATATGGAATATAATTATATTTATAAATAATGTATAATATGTCATGTGACATTAATATGAATATATAATTGACATAATTTATAATATATTGATATATAATTGATATATTTGTATATGTTATATTAATATATCCATTATAATATAGCTTCTATTATAAAAAAATTTCAAACACCCTCCTAAGTATGAGGGTAGCACTATGAACCACCACTCACCATTTCTCAAATTCAGCAGTTATATTTTCTTGTTGGCTCTAATGTCCCGTTGTCTATTTCTTCTTCTTTCTTTGTAGAAGTATTTTAAAGCAAATCTTGGCCATTAGGCCAATTCGCTCCTACATACTACAAAAGCATCTCTAAAAAAGCAAGGTGGACACTTCCTACGTATCCATAAAACCATCCCCATATCTGACAAAATCAGTGATAATACCTTGGTATTGTTGAATACCCTGTCCATGATCTAATTTCCTTGATTCTTAAAGATTTTTCTTTTTACAGCAGGTTTATTTGAGTCGGGGTCCAAACATCTTAGTCTCCACATGCTATTGATTGTTGAGTTGCAAACTGCTCTTTCAAGCATCTGCCCCATAGTTTCAAAATTTTATAGAACAATTTCTGCTTGTACAAACCTAAGTAAAGAAGAAAAAGCTTACAGAAGCTTTTATTCACTTCTAGGGAATTGACTCCTTTTTTTTTAAAGTTACCATTCACAAGATAGTCTTTGGGTTGTACGTGCGACACACACACAATTTCCTAAAACAAGAACATAAACCAGCGTCAGTGTCTCAAGGCAAATAGTTACATAATCGAAAGTCATTATAATTCAGATGCTTCTTGCAAACAACTTCCTGAATCTCAGGTTGACCTGACATAGAATGAGAATATTAAAGAGTATTTTATTTAAAAGTAAGCTGGGTGCAGTGGCTCACATCTGTAGTCCTAGTGACTCTGGAGGCCAAGGCAGGAGGATCACTTGAGGCCAGGAGTTTGAGACCAGCCTGGGCAACAGAGCAAGACCCTGTCTCTAAAAGAATTCTTTTTAAAAAATTAGACTTTTAACCCCCATGTGGAAAGTAAATCTTGTTTTCAACAGTGATGACCAAGGAGAAAGTTGGGGCTGTCAGGGGTTGGTGGGAAGACTAGAGTCCTGTCTGTAGCCGAGGGATTCTAGGGGATGCGTCCCTTACTCTAAAGCCCCTGGCTAAGCAGTTTGGAATGCGGACTGAGTGTGTGCGTGGGCGTGTGCGCCTGCCTGCGACACGCATGATCCCCCTTCCTGCTCTGTCCCTGGAACCCCCACCACTATGTGACACACTATGTACTTCCTTACCTGTCTGTCTCTGTGTCTCCCGGCTAGAATGCAAACCCCACGAGGGAGGGAGGGTCTTCGTTTGGTCACTGCTGTGTTTCTGGCGGTTAGGACGGTGCCCAGCACCTGCTGGCCCCCGTAACCATCCACTGAATGATGAGGCGCCTCTCGGTCCTCAGGCTCTGATCCCGTGCCTGGGGGACCAGACCGGGCGCTGGAACAGGAGGAGGAGGAGAAGCCTGTCTCGGGAGCCCCGCCGCCCGCTGGGGACATGCAGAGCCTCAAGCCTGAGCACGCTCGGGGGCTGCTGGAGCCAGAGAGGACCAAGACACTGCTGCCTCGGGAGAGCAGGGCCTGGGAGAAGCCGCCCCCTCCCGCCTTCAGCAAGGACTGGGAGGCCGTGGAGGTCGGGGCCTCCAGCTGTGACAGCGAGGAGAAAGGTGAGGGCCCCCGGGAGGTGAGTGGGTGGGGGAAAGGTCTTGGCAGAGCCTAGGAGAGACCAAACATTCATTTCGTCATTCATGCATTCAACAGCTATTGGTGGAGATCTATGTCAGTCCACTTTGATGGGTAATAAATCGTCCCCAAACTTAGTGTCTTAAAGCAATGATAGTTCATTGGCTCGTGACTCTGTGGGTTGGCAGTTTAACCTAGCCCTGGGGACACATCTCCTGCTGCCCTTGTGTGCACTTGCCCACGCAGCCTCAGCGAGCTGGCTGGTTGCAGATGGCCTTACTCAGTGTCTGGTCGGCACTGGCTGATGGCTAGCTTGGTGGTGCTGGCGAGAGGCCACACAGCTCCACCGGGCTATTCCAGGCTTATCCTCATGGGAGTGGCTGCAGGAGTCTCAGAAATGGCGGGAAAGGGAACACCCTGATGCACAGACTGTTCTGAAGTGTCTGCTGGCAGGCCAGGTGCTCACCTGCTGTTGTTCACAGCAAGCTGCGTGGCCGGGCGCGGGGGCTCACGCTGCAATCCTAGCACTCTCGGAGGCAGAGGCGGGAGGATTGCTTGAGGTCAGGAATTCTAGACCAGCCTGCGCAGGAGTGAGACCCTGTCTCTACTAAAAGTAGAAAGAAATTAGCTGGACAACTAAAGATATATAGAAAAAATTAGCCGGGCATGGTGGCGCATGCCTGTAGTCCCAGCTACTCGGGAGGCTGAGGCAGGAGGATCGCTTGAGCCCAGGAGATTGAGGTTGCTGTGAGCTAGGCTGATCCCATGGCACTCTAGCCCGGGCAACAGAGCGAGATTCTGTCTCAAAAAAAAAAAAAAATAGTAATAAGCTGCATGGTCAGGCCCAGAATCCATGAGAGAGGGGCTGTGGACATAAAGATGAGCCACTTGAGGGCCACTTGGTGCAAAACTTGACCCCAAAGCACCTTCTATGTGCCAGGCCCTGTGCTAGGGGCCGGGGATATGGCAGTGAACAAGATGGCCTGGTAAAGCTCAGATTGTAGTGGAGAAGGCAGACAATAAGTGCGTTAAGAAACAAAAGGAAAGGCAACGTCTGATGCTGATGAGAGCTCCCAAGGCAAGCAGGTGCTTCCTAGGTGAGGGCGGTCAGGGCCGCGGCCTGCAGTGCCCAGAGCCCCGAGGGAGAGAGGCGAGAGGGAAAAGACAGATCATCTGGCCCAGTGGGGCGTCTCTTAGACCGTACTGGAAGCCACTGGCCACTGTGAAGAGGAGAAAGACATTGCATTTCAGAAAGAGTCCTCTAACTCAGCGCTTTCCAACCAGGACGATTTTGTACCCTGCCCTCCCCAGAGGGGCATTTGGGGTCTAGCTGGGAGGCACTGCCGCCGCCTCCCGGCGACTCCACAGTGCCACTGCTAGACCTCCCGCACAAGATCTGCCCTGCCGCCCAGGCGTGAGGGTGGCCGGAGGTTAGGAGGCCGCGTGCAAGGTGGGAGGCTGGTCAGGAGGCTGCCACGCCGCCGGAGAGAGGAGAGATCTGGGACACCTGTCGGAGGCGAATGTGCTCTTGCCGATGGATGTGGGACAGGGAGGACAATGGATATTGAGGGTGACTCTTGGGGTTTTGGCCCACGCAGCTGGATGAAGGGCAGTGCCACCTGCTGAGACGGGGGCACCCGAAGGCCGCCCCACAGCGGAAGGGGCTGAACTGAACCCTCTACCGGGGCGGACTGTTTCTCGGGGGTGGACAGAGGTGTGGCTAGCAGAGGCCCTGGCCAGGGCGGGCTGCCCAGTTCTGCCCAGAAGGACCCGGGTGCGCCGACTCGGGCTGACTCTCCCCCGGCGGCTGCTCTTACGGAGGGGGGAGGCCCCGCCACCCAGGCCTGGTTCTGTGACTCTTCTGCCCCCTCACCGGCTGCTTCGGAGGCCCACGGGGAGGGAGCCTGCACCCACTGGCAGGCGAAGGAACAAAGGCTCAGGGGACAGACGGCAGGTGACCGAGTTTCAGCCTTCCGGGTAGGGATGGGATCGGAATTCAGGTGTCTCATTCGCTCAGCCCCTTCTGAACACGCGCGCTGGCGTGTGTGCGTGTGCATGAGAGAGGGAGGAACAGGGCGTTCCTGCAGAGAGGCGTGGGAGGCCAGTGGGAAGAGCAAGTGGACCCCTGGCCGCCTGGTCACCGTCTCATGGCTCCTTTCTCCTCCGCACCCGCCAGACCTGTCTTCTCAAGAGACTGGGGTTTCCCAGGAGTGGAGCTCGGTGGAGGAGGACGACGAGTCGGAGGAGTCCCAGGTATGGTGTGGCGGGGTCCTCTCCCTTCCCGTGGGCGTCCCACCTGCCGATCTCAGTGGGTTGTCACATGTCCTTTCTCAGCTTAAAGTTTCCCTGCCCCAAAAAAGTCCCAAGAAGTCTCCTGTGGGGGACAGGACATATTCCTGTGGCGGTCAGAGCGGAGGGTCTCCATGCAGCATATACAGCTCCATCCACTCACACCCTCCAACCCTTCACCCGTAAACCCATCCGCCATCCATCCATCTGCCCATGTGTCCGTCCTCCCATGTACCCATGTGTCGGTCCGTCCACTTGTCCATCCATCCACAAACCCTCCGTTCCACCCTTCACCCCACCTTGCATCTCACCCATCCGTTCTCCTTCCACTCGTGGGATATCCACCGACCACTGACCTGTCCACGCGTCCATCTGCCCAGCCTCTCACCCCTGCTTGTCCACAGACCCACTGCGTCTGTCCTGCTGCAGATCTGGCTACCCACATACACCCTCCCCACCCTTTTGTGCATGCGCCATCAGTCCTGCTCAACCCACACGCCCACTGTGTGTCCACTCACCTGTACACCTACCTATCCATCCTCTACTGCCTAATTGCCGTGGTGGGGCCGTGGCTACTATCCACGCACCCACATTCCCACGCACCCATCTCTATCCATCCACCCGTCCACCCACCAACCCAGTCACTGACCCACCCAGCCAGCCACGATTCATTTATCCATCCGCTCACCACCTACTGGATTTTAATCCAGATTCTATGAGTAAAACCAAACAGAATCATTGTGCACACTGCTTTCCCTCAAAGACCTAATGTCTTCCTTTTCTTGAGGCATAAGATGTCAGTACAAGAAATAATAAAAGTGGTTCTTTTGTTTATACATCCAGGTGATACATGAGAAAAATCACATAACCACCCTCAGCAGCACCTGAGGGTCCCGCCATCTCCCAGTCATCTGTCAGGAATCTACCTCTGACAGGGTCAAGCTAGAAAAAGGGTTTATTGACCCACAGTGCAGGGCTGGGGAGGGGGAGTGGCACACAGTGGCCAGGAAACTGCGATAGTGCCAGATAAGTGCTGTCGACAGCGGGGTGGGTTCATGCTTCCATAGCCCAGAGAGGAGGAGATGCAGACCTGGGGTTCGGGCTGAGGAAGAAGCCCCAGGCAGAGCAGGGCAGGCAACGGCCGTGCAAAGGCACAGCGGCCTGGCAAGTCACGTGGGGCTGCCGGAGTTAAGGGCAGAACAGTGGGAGGTCTGGGGGGAGTCCGGCTGGGCAAGGTCACTGATGCATTCCACAGCTATTTCTTGTGCACCTACTGTGTGCCAGGCAGTGTTCAGTGCGTGGAGGGTACAGCAGTGAATGGGACAGACGGCAAGTGAAACAAGCCGCTGAAGCGTAAACTCGCTGCGTGGTGATGAGCGCTAGGGAGGAAAATGGAGCAGGACGGGGCTCCAAAGCGTGAGGCTGGGCTGGGATTGCCATCTTAAGAAGAGTGTCCAGGGACAGCCTCCCCGAGGGGGGCTATTGAGCAAAGACCTGAAGGGGGTGGGGGACAAGCCTGGTGGCTGTCTGGGGGGCACGGCAGGTGCAGAGTCCTGAGCTGGGCCCTCACCTGGCACCACAAGGACAAGCAAGAGCGGCCAGTGTGGCCGGGAGAGCCAGTGTGGGAGAGAGGGCTGGGAGATGGGGTTGTGGGGTGATGGGGTGGGTGACCGTATTTACAATGTGGCTCTTATCCTGGGTGGGGTGGCAGCCCTAGGTGAGTTCTGGACAGAGGAGGCACCTCTTGTGGCTCATGCTGTAGCCGGAGCCCTCTCCTGCCAGGCTGCATGCTGGGAGGCCAGGAGGGTCTTGCAGGCCATGGGAAACCCTGGCAGGGGTTTGAGGATTCACGGAATCACTTTGGCCACCCATGGAGAGGGAAGGTCGGTTGGATACAGCAGGGGTTGGGGTTTGGGGACATGCAGGAGCCAGTCAGGAACATCCAGTTAGAAAAAACAGGTGGAAATGAAAGAGCTGCCACTTAGCTCATGCGTGTTATGAGTTTGACACAGTTCTAAATGTGTCCCATGATCACATATATTAACTGGACGCCCATTAACTCGCATGATTCTCTCAGGACCTGTGAGATCCTTAGTGTGGTTCCCCCTTTTACAGATAAGGAAACTGAGGCAGAGAAATCATTAATATATGGCTTGCTCCAGGTCCTGCTGTGAGCAGCTGGCAGAGCCAGCAGAACTGAGGCTGTCTGGAGAGGATGCCAGCTGAGGCAGCAGCGGTGGCGGGAGTGGGACACGGGGTCATCGCTCGCTCACTCATTCATTCATTCGCTCAGTCATGGTTCATTGAACCAGCATTGATGGAGCATGTCCTTGAAGAAGGACTTGTTGTCCCATTTTACAGATGGTGAAACTAAGGCACAGAGAGTTCAGTTGACTTTCCTTCTGTCACTCAGCGTGTAAGTGGTAGAGCTGGTATTCGAACCCAGTTTGTCTCCTAACCACGAGGTGTCCTGCCTGTTTGTCTTGACCCTCTCCCAAGAGAGGACTGTGGACCTGGATGCAGGGCTCTCTCTGTCCCACCTGGGTCATCATGCCCCTAGAGGGGAAGAGTGTAAGAGGGAGTGGAAGAAAGGGAGTCACTTTCCAAGAGGGCAGCAGTTCCCACTTGGCAGACCCAGAGGAAAGCAGGGAGGAGGAAACAGTCCCATCACCCTCATCCCATAAAATACAAGCATGTGTAATACTTACAAATCTTATCTAAGTACATGAGGCTAAAAACAAAAGAGAAACACCAGCATCAGAGATAACCCCTGTAAAAGTTGCTGTGACAAGCCAAACTCGTCCCTATCATTGGAAGTCGGGATAATGGTTACCTTTGGGGTGGGGGGAACCAAGGGGCTTGTAATGGTCTGCTTCTTGTTTGGGGTGCCGGTTACAAGGGTTGTTCAACTTCTGCAGGTTGCTTAGACTGTATACTCAGCAAGTACACAAACTTCTCTTTGCATGTGCTACTTCGAAAGAATGTTTTTAAGAAGTTGTTACATGTCCTTCCAGATATTTTTTCTTAGACACACAGACCAAATTTGGATTTGTGTGCAAGAAATTTTTTGAGGGATGTGCAGGCTGGAGAGGGGAGGGGGAAGCTAGGTAAATACATGGGTTGACCCAAAGTCCAGCCTCTGTCTGATCCCACAGGGAGCCCTGGAGTGCGAGCAGAACCACAGAGTTGTCCTCCTCTGAGCCAGTGGAGTGGCCTCTTACACCCCATGTGTCCGTCACTGGGTGTGGACTACCCTGGAGGTGAGTTTAACCTCCTAGATAACCCCACAGGAGGTGAATCCCATTAGTAAGGGCATTTCTCAGAAGGGAAGAGGCAACATAATCCATAAACCATAAAGCTAGCAGCCAATACCCCTAGAGTCCAGGGCACAGCTGCACCAGCCTGGTAGACAGAAACAAAGGGGAACTAGGTGAGGCACCTACACGTCTCATCTTAGCCCATTTATGTCACTATAAAGGGACACCTGAGGCTGGGTCATTTCCAAAGGAAAGAGGTTTATTTGACTCATGGTTCTGCAGGCTGTACAAGAAGCCTGGGCCTGAGGCTGCTTCCACTCATGGCAGGAGGAGTGTGCAAGGGCCACAAGGGGAGAGAGGGAGCAAGACAGTGCGGGCACAGGCACCAGGCTATGTGGGGACTAACAGAGCAAGAACCGACTCCCTACCGTGAGGACAGCACTAAGCCATTTGCGAGAGGTCCATCCGCATGACCCAAGCGCCGCCCACTAGTCCACACGGCCATCCTGGGGAGCAAGTATTAGTGTGAGGTTTGGAGGGGACAGCGTCCAAACCATAGCAGGTCTGTTATGTGTGGTTTGTGTCAAGTCATTGGATTTCAAATGAGCTGTATTTATTATATTTTCTTAATTATATACTCTGCGTTTCTAAATGGCAGTGTAATTATTTCTAATAAAACGCAGAGGTCAGAGCGTGTTGACACCTGTGTACACTCTTGTAACCAGCACCCCAATCAAGACAGTGTTGTCATCATTCTAGAAAATTCTCATTTTCCCTTCCAGTCTACCTCACTCCCCCACCCCAGAGGTAACTACAGTTCTTGATTTCTACTCATATAGATGAGCTTTGCCCATTGTTGAACTTTATCCAAATAGAGTCAGACAGTAGAATACATACATTTTAACACACAAAAAGGAGATTAATACAAAATTGTTATTCTGCCATTTGGTGTTTTCACTGGATATATTCTGATTTATTACATATTAATTATCTTCATTCTTTTCCAAATGTACTTTTTACTGCTGTGGAATATCCTAGAGTTTGGGTGTGTCAGACCCATTTCTTCAGCCGATGAATTGTCATTGCTGCAGGAGGCAGTGCTACACAAATGTTTGGTCGGTTGGCTCAATTTTATATAGTGTGGATTATGAGGAACTTTATAAAAATGCACATTCTCTGGTCCTAGCTGAGATGCACTGAATCAGAAAATCCAAGCCCAAGATATTTGAAAATCTCCCCCAACAAGCTTCTGACGCTCTGCCAGGTGTGGGAACTGCTTACTCAGGGCACTCTCTCCGGGCATCTGGTTGTAAAGGGAGATCTGGAATGAGACAGTACCCAGAGGGGTACAGCAGGCGAGGAGAAGGAATTTCTCCTTTCCAAAGTTAGAAATGTGAATTCCATCAATGGTTTGTAATATATTTTATCATCTCATGGTACGTGTCCCTTCCATTTCTCTTTTACAGGGTTTTTTCAGTGTTCACTGTCGCCTTGCCTTCCAGATAACTCATTATGTCACGTTCATTTCCAAAGCTTTCCTATTTAGTAGCAATTGCACTAAACTTATCTTTGGAGAATTGTTGTTAAACGTTTTGTCTTCCCATACTTCATCATGGTATGTCTCCCCATGTACTTGTTCCCTTCGCAAATATTTACAGAGCTCATAGTCTATGCCTGGGGGGTCCCCAGGTGCTGGCAGCAAACAAAGTTTTGCCCTCACAGGGCTTACAGTGTCATTGGGGGAAGGGACAATAAGCATATAAAGTATGTCAGGTGGTGATAAGGGCACAGAGAAAAAGTAAGCTGGGGAAGGAGTGTGGGTAGTACTGGGGTCTTTATTGAGAAGGGTTGGGGAGAGCGTACTGTTTTAAATAGGTGGTGAGGGAAGGGTTTTCTAAGGAAGTGAAAGAGTGAGGCTTAAGGGTATCTGGAAGAAGGGCATTCTAGGTAGAAGAAATCACAACCACAAAGGCCTGCAGGTGACTGGCTGGAGCAGAGTGAGAAAGGCAAGGAGTAACTTCAGTGTTAGAAGGAACACTCTGGCTGACCCACGGAGAAGAAATTGGGTGGATTATCAAGATGTGAAACGGGGGTCTGTAGCAAGTACAACAGACTACAACAGAGATGACGGTGGCTTTGTCCAGGGTGCAGTAGTTGAGGGGATGGAAGTGGTCAGATTCTGGATATGGTTTTGGAGATAAAGCCAACAGCATTTGCTGATGTCCTGAAAGTGGGTGATGAGAGATAAAGAGGAGTCAAAGATGCCACAGTTGGAGGCCTGGAGGGGCCTCAAGGAGTCACATGGGGGAAATTGCATGAGGAGCTTTTCAGGGGAGGGGATTAGAATACATGTTTGGGACATGTAAAGTTTAAGATGCACATTAGATATCCAAGTGGAGATGGCAAGTAGACAGTGAGATAGATGTATAGTTGGGAATTCAAGAGAGGGGTTGGGTCAAGAAACACATACACACACACACGCATGTACACAATACACATCTTTTTGTAGGGAGTCATTAGAGTATAGATGGTATTTTTAAACTGCGAGATTTTATATACCTACAACATTTTGAAATTTTTATCCCATTATTCTGAAAGTTCCTCTGATAGACCATAGGTATGTTACTTTCTTTTGTATATTTATCTTATATCTAGTTACTCTCCTATACAGTTTTAAATTCAAACAGCTTTTCTGTTGGTATGCCATTTTATTTCCAATCATATAATCTTATTTTTCTGCAAGTAACAATGGTGGCCCCTTCCTTTCCAATATTTATCTTTTTTTTTTTTTTTTTCTGTTTCAGGGCTTTGTGGAGTGGTCAAAGGCTCCACAACAAACAACCATAGTCTTGGTAGTATGTGTACTTTTTTTGTTTTTGGTTTTAACAGGGATGCCTATGATGTTTCATATTTAACTATACTGGTGGCTTTTGTTTTGAAACAGATGCCCTGTGTCATGTTAAGAAAGTGTGCTGGTTAAAAATCAGGAATGAATGTTGAATATTATCAAATGCCTTTCAAACATCCTTTGAGATGATTTTTTTTTAACTTTTTGGTGTGAGGTTTTACATTATTGTATTTAATTGAAATTAAGACATCATTGATTGTAAAACACATATTATTTTATATATTTATATACCACTGAGAAAGAAAAATGCTAATTAATCATAAGATGCTACCAACTGGAAGATGTCTCCTGACTTCTGAGAAGGTAAAAAAAGTGCAACTGAGGATTGATGAAATCTGGTAGACTTCCTCACATCAAATCAACTTTGCATTCTTAGGAATGTTGTGCACCAGTCTTTTCATATACTGAATTCTATTTCTTGATATTTTATGTAGGATTCTTGCCTCTATCTTCATATGAGAGATTGGTGCTATCTTTGTGAAGTTTTGGTATCATGGCTAAGCTTGCATCACAGAAAGACTTGAATAACTTTTACCCCTTTCCATGCTTTTGAATAGTTTCTGCAGCTTGAGAAGTGTCAATCCCTTGGTATTTTAAAATAATTTGCCAGTAATCAGGACCTAGAGCCACAAAGGGGAGGTTTCAGCTACTTCTTGGGCAGCTTTCTCAGTTTTTTCCAGTTATTGGTTTATTAATACTTTTTACTTGTTGCATTCATTTTGGTGATTATAGAGTTCTTTGATCCCCTAGAAAATTTTTCATTCCATAGAGCTTTTCATATTACTAACTTAATTATGCATACTATTTTATAATTAAACAAAAATTTTGTTTATTTTATCCCCTTTAGCCTTTCAACTTCTGGTTTTGTTTTTTGTTTTTTTTTCCTTTGGTTTCATTACCAGATTTGTCAAATGCTTATCTAGTTTACTGTCATTTTTCCAAAGACCTAGTATTAGGCTTTATTTATATCCACTATTTCTCTTATTTGTAATTTGTTCCTTTAATATGTATTTTTTATTTTTGGCTCAATTTTTAAGTTCAATACTTAATTTATATTCTTTATATTTTCTATATTAGTATACTTAATAATAAAAATGCACTTGTGGATATAGCCTTGGCCATATTTTAAAGTTTGATTATCTGTGTTCTTATTTATGTTATTGTCTAAATATTATATTGTAGTGTTTCTAAAGTATGTTTTGAATGTCAAAACATTCGTTTACTTTTTGTTTAAAAACTATTTTGTTTTCTTATTTTATTGCACTGTGAATAGAGAATGTGGCCTATAATATCTCTGCTTCCAAAACCTTTTAAAAAGCTTTTATTGTGGCCTAGAACATGTCTAAGTTTTATAATTGTTTCATGAACATTTAAGATGAATATGTATTTTCTATAGAATTCAAAACTCTACATGTCTGTTATTTAACTCAGCCTCATCAATTACATTGTTTAGATTCATGTGTTATTTAATTTTGGCCTACTCTATTTGTCAAAAATCAATAAGGTTATGTGAAAATCTGTTAATAAAATTGTCTTCATCAATTTATTTTTATAATCTTTGCTTTATGTATTCAAAAGCTGTGTAATTTGATGCATATAAGTACAGCATTGTTATGTTCTTGCCAATTAAATAATATATGTAAAACACCAAGCACAGTGCCAGGTATACAGTAGGTACTCAATAAATGTTAGTTAAAACCTGATTCTGAATCCTTTGTTAAACATAATCATCTTTAACCAATTTAATCCTTTGATTTAAAATTTACCTAATACTTGTTGATATTACCATATTGCTCTTTTTAAATTCTTCTATGTACGTGAGGTTCTCCAGAGAATTAGCAGGGAAAGTATGGGATTCTCTCTCCATTTCTCTCACAGGCTGACTGCATCCAGTAAGCAACTAGCCCTTAAAAGAAAAGAACACAGGCCTCAACTTTTACATTTTTGGGGATTTTATTAGTTGCAAATAAGAGAGGCTCAATTTAAATGAGCTTAAGCAAAAGAAAAAAAAGTAATTCTTGGTTCATGTTACAACAATGTTTGGGATAAAACTGGCTTCATGTATAGCTGGTTTCACAGATCCAAAAATATCACTGGGGCTTTTCTTCTCCTCACAGTTGTGCCCCCTTCTGAAGGTGACCGCCCTTGCTCCTTCCCACTGGGCTGGGGATGCTATCCCCGGCTGGTGGTGGCCTCCTTTTCCACGTGGCGAAGTAGGAGGCTTGGCAGATTTTTATCACACTCGCAGCTCCCCTTCCTGCTCTGCTGCTGGGACAGGAGTCCTGAAATAAGGGGCGTGAGAACAGCCAGCAAGGCCCTGAGGCAGGAGCAGACTGTCCAAATAATGGGAGGAGAGTGGATGGCAGCAGGGCAAAGGAGGAAGCAGGGAGATGAGTGTGGAGACCACCTGAGATGTCCAGTCGAGAGGAGATGGGATGACTGGACTGTGACTAGCTCAGTGCCATGGGTCTTGGTCAATTTTGTGGGATAGCGAAAATAATCACGACAGTAATAAAAATCCTAGTAGCAGTGGTCATTCATTTGGGCTCTTTGATGTGCCAGGGACCTGCCTTTCATTAATGACGGAAGTACCCACCCAAGGCCCAGATGTTCCATTCACCCAAGAGCCATACAGATCCCATTAAAACGTAATTAAAACCACCCATAATCCTCCCCCTTCACTCGGTAAAAGCCAGAGTCCTCCGGATGCCATCTAGCTGTGCTCCCACCGGCTTCCACTCTCATTCCTCCTTCTCTGGCTCCTTTTACCAAGCCAGGTGGGCCTCCCTACTGTTTCTAACTTGCCCATCACGCTCTTGCCTCAGGACCTTCGCACTGGCTGTTCCTTCTGCTTGGGATGCTCCGCCCCCGCCAGCACGGCCCCTCCCCCGCCAGCGCGGCCCCTCCCTCTCCAGCACGGCCCCTCCCCCGCCAGCGCGGCCCCTCCCCCGCCAGCACGGCCCCTCCCAGCAGCGCGGCCTCCCGCCAGCGCGGGCCCTCCCTCTCCAGCACGGCCCCCTCCGCCAAGCGGGCATCCGCCACGCGGCCCCTCCTTCCAGCACGGCCCCCTCGCGCCAGCCGCGGCTCCCCCAGCAGGCCTCCGCCAGCGCGGGCTCCCGCCAGCGCGGCCCTCCTCCTCCAGCCACGGTCCCCAGCACGGCTCCTCGCCCAGCACGGCCCCCCCCCGCCAGCACGGCCCCTCCCCCGCCAGGCCGCCGCCGCTGCCGCTCTCCAGCAACGGCCTCCCGCAGCACGGCTCCCGCACACGCTCCAGCACGGCCCTCCCCCGCCAGCACGGCCCCTCCCTTCCTCCGGGTCTCAGGTGTCGCCTCCGCGGAGATGACCGCGCCGACACCCCAAGGCAGCACCTCCCTCCCTCCACCTTGCCTGCACAGCCTGTTTCCCCACTGGCGAGCCTCAACCACCATCCCGGGCGTGTGCTGGTGGCTGTGCCGGAGGACGGCTCTCTGTGAGGGAGGAACTGCGGGCGAGGGGCGCAGGCCGCAGCCCCAGGAACGCGCCCCCCACCCCGCCGGCCGCCCCTCGCGCTCGCAGCCGCTCGCCGCTTCCGGGAACAGGCCGCGTCCGACCGGCGGGGGGACGAGCGAAGCGAGCCGGCGAGCAGGGCGGAGCGAACCCGCGGGGCGTAGCCGGGCCTGGACCCGCGGGCCGGCGGGCGGCTCGCAGCACGCGCCTCCAGGGCTCGGCGGTCCGCCTCCTCCGACCCGACCCGACACTCCCGTTCCAAGGCGGAACCTGCTGCCACTCCGCTCCGGGCGGTCGCAGCTGTGGAGACTCAGCAGGCTGTGACCCCGGGCTTCCCTCTTTCCACAGCGAAGGGCTTCAGGGCAGATTCTCGTGGCGCCCCCTGCCGCCCGCCCCCTGCCGCCCGCCTGCGCCCCGCCCTGCCGCCCGCCCCCTGCCCCGCCGCCCCCTGCCGCCCCGCCCTGCCGCCCCGCCGCCCACCGCCGCCCTGCCGCCGCCCCCTGCCCCCCCTGCGCCCGCCCTGCCGCCCCGCCCCTGCCGCCGCCCTGCGCCCCGCCGCAGCCCACTCGTCCCGGAACCCTCGCCACAGGCCGCGCGGCGCCTGCGCACTCCGAGCTGACAGGCTGGGTCTTGGCGAGAGGCTCGGTGGACCGACGCAGGCCCGCGCCCGCCCCCAGGCTCAGGCCACCCGCCCAGCTCAGGCCCCGCCCACCGCTCCGGCCCCGCTAAGCTCAGGCCCCGCCCCTCACTGGCCCCGCCCCTGTATCGGCCCCGCCCCCCGGCCCAGGGTCCGGCCCCAGCTGAGGCCCCGCCCCATCCTGACCCACACTCGGGCCCCGCCCTCGCCCCAGCTGAGGCCCGCCCCGCGCACACTCAGGCCCCGTCCCCGCCCACGCTCAGGCCGCCCCTGGCCCAGCCCAGGCCCGCCCGCCCAGGCCCCGCGTCCCTCCTGCCCCGCCCCTGTATGGGCCTGCCCCTGGCCCAGGCTCGGCCCAGCACAGCCCCGCCCCATCCTGACCCACTCGGCCCGCCTGCCCAGCTCAGCCGACCGCCCAGCCACTCAGGCCCGCCCGCCCAGCTCAAGGCCCCGTCCCCGCCACGTCAGCGCCTCCGCCAGCCAGCTCAGCCCGCCCGCCCCCCGGCCCAGGCTCTGGTCCCTGGGGTCTCCAAAGAGCGAGTTTGGCTCGCTCTGTGCTGCTGTCTTGCTTCTCTTGCTCTCTTGGGTGATTATACTCTGCCCTATGTCTCTGCACTACACTACGGTGGCATTTCACTCATTCATCCATTCGCCCGGCATTTCCTGAGGACCTACTGTGTGCTGGGCCGGGCTGGGCGACGTGTGGTCCTTGTCCCCGAATGACTCGGGCTGGTGCTAGGAATGTGCAACTATGCATTCCGCCACGACAATTCTTGAGGACCTACTGTGCTGAGGCCTGGGTGGGCGGGAGCCCAGCCCAGGGAAGAACAACCTGTGTGGCCCTGAAGAGCACCAGGGCCAGGTCAGGGTTTTTTCACTTATTCATTCATTAGCCTGACATTTCCTGAGGGCCTACTGTGTGCAGGTTCTTGACCCCACAGGGCACCAGGGCCAGGTCAGGAGTCTTTCACTCACTTGTTCTTGTGTGCCAGGGCCTGTGCAGGCGATGCCAGGACAGAAGTAAAAAACAACAACAAAAAAAACAGCTTGGCCTCTTGGTGGGGTGAGAGTTGAGAGCGTGCACGGGCGGAGA